AGAGGAAGAAACCTGAGCTTCAACAACATCTGTATTTGTTGGTTCTTCTGGGGTGGACTTCGGTTGCTTCTCTTCAACAACTCGCTGTGAGGGAGGTCTCCCCCGGATGGCCTGAGTGATGACACCCACAGGCTGAGAGCTGGAGCTGAGGCGTGTTTTAAGCCTCTTGACAAACCGTTACACCGCGCCCACCTGTCAAGCTGGTCAGCTACACGCCTTATTGTGAATAACTCTTATCCTTCATCAAATCAAAACTGATGAGTCATCAAAACATTCACCCCCCATACAGTGTGTGACATGAGCTAATCACACCTATTTGTTTGTTTTGTACCAAGCTGTAAACATGTTCATCTCTGCTGTAAAAACAGATTTTTTTTAATGTGGTTTTTCAGATTAAATAAATATTTCTATATAAATGCACTCCTTTATGTCTACTTATGAGTATACATTTCAGATTTTAAAAGGACAAGACTAAAATGTGCATTAATGCTCAACTCAATAGCTAAGGGAAGGAAGTCTACTTTTACACAACTTCTTATTTCGACATTTTTTTTTACCAAATACTAATGTAGTTCATTTCTGAAAGTGGGATGGAACAGAGTCATTGCAAAAATATGCCCTTAAACACAGCCCCATTCTTAAATCAAGATACATGGAGAGTAAATAAGATCAATAACTTGTGAATAAAAACACAGTTAAAAATGATTTAGAAATGTAGTCTTCCCAGATCAATATCACATAATATCAACTTCTCCCATCTAAACTGGACAAAGGGTTTTAAAATGGGAAGAAAATGGTTTGATTGCAAGTTGTTTGGAGGAGATCTAGTTTTATTTGAACAGCATGAATAAAGTCTTCCAAGGTGCAAACCCTCCTCCTCCTGCTGAAGCTTGTGGAGCTCCTTGATGTACTGCTGTCTTATCTGCTGGCCATCTTTTCTCACCAGAACTTCGACTGTTGAAATGTCATTCTGAAGAAGCTCGAGCATGTGATATGGATCCAGGAGAACATGGACTTTTAGTGAGAGGTCTTCAGGGTGACAAAGAAAGAGAGAAAATATCAGTTATTCATTAAATCATTTTTTTGTTCTCATCTATTTTTCTGTATTCATCTGTGTGTAAGATTACATTTATAAATTCAACAGTGTACTACCCAGACAACAAAGGTACAGTATTCAGGTAATCAACATCTATTCAAAGTTAAGAAGATAAACCTTATTGTAATCATGCTATTTTCAGCTCTCTCACTCACACAATGATATTCCACATCAAATTGTCTCAGATTTTGTGAGGAAAAATTAAGCAGTTTATTGTGGATAGTACTTCATCTTAACATGAAACAAATACAACCTGAATTATTTAAATCATTAACAGGTCCCAACTCTCTGTGCTTTAGTACAGAACATACAGTAACTCATTTATTATTAACATGAGCTCAGTACATGGCTGTATTCTTCAAACTATTTCTTATACTTTATATCTATGTGCTTTAAATCTTATTTTCATTCCATATGTTATTTATATTTTATATTTCTACTGCTATATTCTGTGTATGAGTTCAGTGAAAATTAATATGGTTATTAATATAGTTCTTAATGGTTACAGATGCTCTTACAAAGTGCATTTTTTTAAATTTGGTAACAGTTTGTACAAATCTTAAGACACTACATCAACCATGTAACTTTAATGTCATCCTCTATAACCTACACAGCACATTAGGTTCAGTTGAGTTTATGTTACTGACGGATAATTACTACACAAAGTTTGTTTTTTAATGTCCACATTTACGTGGAGTATAACATTCATCATAACGTCAGATAAACATATTTACAGTCTGTGGTTAACCACCGAGATGAACCTTTAGCTTCTAACATCACACAAACTCATTTTCAACATCTTAACAACAAACATTTCTAAACCATTGACCATAAATAATGAGCTACACAGATAGCCGACTGGTTTACAAGGTAACGCTAAACAAGCTAGGTCCGTAAATATAAATACCGACACTGAGTAAGCAGTAACTATAACACTACTATATCACTTACCGAAGAAAACTGAAGCATCAACTTCTTGGATGGTCTGTTAACCGCACAGCAAGCCATGTATGTTGTCAGATATGTGTTAAACTAACTCTCCAAACGAAGTAAAAAAGAGAAGAAATCAGACGGATCAAACTGTTAGCCTCCTGACCTGCTGACCGCGCAGAGCTGTCAATCAAATCTGACACAACCAAATATGGGCATAGCCGTTTTCCTTAATAGAATAAAATCCGATGAGTTATAAAAAAAATCCCCCCCCCCCCACAGTGTGAGGAGAAGGGGCCGTCAACTTATCAGATATATCTCGTTTTTTGAACCAGGTTGTAAACATGTTGATTCCTGTGGTAAAAACAGGTTTTTTTGGCTGTGGGCTTATGGCACTTCCGGCGCTTCTGCAGCCAGCCTCAAGCAGAACCTCGAGGAACTGCAGTTTTTTGTACTTCCGCATAGGCTTCATTTTTCGAGACCGGAGGTTGCCCCTTGGCAATACTATACCTCCCACAGCCGTTATTTTTTCTAAACATACAAGTCAAGCAGAAGCAGTTAGCAGAATAGAATATGTACACAGTTTTCATCGTTAGTCTCTATTTTATGTGATTTATTTTAATGATTCATAGATTTTTCTCTAAATGCCCTCTTTCTTCTTCGAGGTCCTTTTTTTCCTGACGGCTTTTTTTATGCACTCGCGGATAGTGATGGGAAAAGCAGTTCTTTTCAGTGTACTGAATCAGTAGAATCACTTCAGTAAAGTGATTTGTTCAAAAGATTCGTTCACTGAATCGTTCAGTAATTCTCACCAGCTCTGTCTGTGAATCAGAATTTAATAAGCTGAAACACGGCCGAACGTTTAGTTCTGCTCGCGATCGTACTGAGAACAGCCGGTGGTGAATAATAAACCAATGAGCTGAGAATTTAGTTGTATAAAGCTACAGTTTGCAAACTGAAAGCTGCTAAAACAATCACATTTATTTTCCCCGACCGTTCTGTTCAGTACACAAATCACTCACTGACTGACTGACTGACTGAGAGGAAGAGAGTGACTCGGAGGCGGAGCTCTCCGAGCAGAGAACTCTAGTAGATGTTAAAACAGTCAGCTGAGTGAAATTAAGTTGGATATAAAAGCCGTTTGTAAACTGACGGCAGCTATAAAAAGCACAAACATTTTCGTGACACCTAAATGTTAAATAATATATTTTCTACTTCCTCAATTTTGGAGACATGAGAGGGAGAAGTAGGGGCGGGCTTTAGCAACACAGAGCTCCCGACCGACTCCGTCCTGTTGGTTCAGTCAGTAGTATCACTGACATGAAAGGAGAGGGAGGGCGGGTTTTGAGCGACTCTTACGGTCTAGAGAAAGAGACACGAGACGGGAGAGAGGAGAGCGCAACTGAAGTTGAGAAATGAACGACTCTTTTCAGTAAGTGATTCAGTTCAGTTCGTTCACCCAGATGATTCGTTCGTTTTGAACGAATCGATCACGAACTATACATCACTACTCGCGGAGCCCCTGCGGACTCGCGAGGGGCGACCCCTTTTATTTCTTCCTCCACAGCCCGACTCCGCTGTGAAACGTCCTTGTGGTAAGTTGTGTTTTAGTCATTGCTAAGTCGCTTTTAAAACATTATTAACTCAATTAAAGACGTTCAAGCAGTTATATTACTTTAGCGGTTAATTCGTTTTGTAGTCTGATGAGTATGGACGGAGTCTGCTCTCCGTTTCTATGGTTACCGCCATTTCTGTTAGTTTAAAATCAAATTTTGGCTCCGTAGTCTTTATGTTCACACATGTTATGTAACGCTGATTTTCGATGAAAGGTCCGTGACTTGTTGACATGTGAGCGGACAAATGCGGTGTATTTTGGCATCGCTTGGGGATTATAGTATCATGGCAGACACTAATAATGGTTTAGCTAGCTAGCTAGAGTTACAGATAAGGTACACTCTGCAATTCCCAATTTGCCCCCTCACTTTTGGCCACAAGTACCTATGTGTGATGCATTTATTGACCTATATTTGGATTGAAATTTTGCTGAGCTCACCCGCGCATTTGTGTGTCTTTTATGTATCTCAGAAAATGAAGTGGACTGAAAAACAGGACTCCCTGAAGCCATGGTCGGAAACCTGTTTAAGATTCTTCTTAAAGCCAGTGAAATACAGTTTACCAATACATGGAGGATGAGACCATGGGAGCTTCAATTTCAGCCTGTCACTGATCCAAGGCAAGTGCATCATTTTGAGGCATTAAAAGTGCTAAATATCAGCTTTCCAAGTTTATTGTTTGCATATAAGTTTATATTGTGGCTGCCCGCTGTTTAAAGGGATACTTCACCCGTTGAAACATGAGTCTGATTTGAAATTGGGTCATATATGTAGCAGAAATGTGAAATAGTTGGTGCCTTCTTGACCGAGAAAAGGCAGAAAGTGTCTTTTTGGCTCATGTGGAAATTAATTTCACAGACAAATTCTAGTGACTACGAGTTAGGCCCGTGTCCACCCATAGCATTTCTTCTGGGCAGAAAAGCGCTGGCTGTGCGCTCGGGAGTGTCTGCATGAGGCGTTTGTGCAGAGAAGAAAAGCGCTGCACGTCCGTCCGCTCAAGTTGAAAATCTTTCAACTTTTCTCAAAGGTGCTGTTGACATAATTGGAGCTCTTTTCAAAATGTATGATATTCCCTGTAATATAGCGACCTACGGATCGGATCTTGTACTCCCACCTTCCTCGCTCCATGTCTGCTGGGGTAAAAAACGATCTCAAATATGAAACGTGCATTAAAAAGTAACGGAGCAGTGTCGGTCATACAGCGGCTGTTGACAGGTTTCTAATTATACAAAGTTTAATGCAATTGGGTGAAGTATCTCTTTAACAACCCATTATATAAAAAACTGATTTAATCATGTTTTATTACAGTGGTGTGCCGACTTGTAACCTGTGTTGTGACATTTAATTTCATCCTCTCCCATAGATGTCCAGATGAGGCCTGATGTCACAAAGTTAATGAATGTGATCAACAAATCCCCATTCTTAAAGACACATGATAGTGAGTATCATTGAAACATATGCATGTTACTACAGGGGAGTGTTATCAAATCTATGATTTTAATGAAATACAAGGCGCCTCAAGTTTTGTCAATAAAAGCGAGCAAAATAACCATTTCTTAAATTTGAGGTTATATAATCTTTACAGATAACTGTATTGAGGTTTAAAAGCATTGTATCAGCTAAATTTCTTAATGAATATATTCTTGTTTTGTTTTCTGTATTGCAGGAATACTTTTGGACTGGGTTTTTCCTCGTCATCCCTCTTCAGAGAAACAATTGAACACCACATAATTGTGCAAGAGGTAGGCATCCAGATTGTTTTATAGTACTGACTGATAGACGTCAAATAAATACATGCACAGAAAAAGGTTGCTTGCTAGATATTTTCTGCTTGTTCTTTCATTAAGTTATGAATAAAGAATACACAGTGTTCCTGTTATGCCCCACCTATCTGTGTGGGTTGAATTTTCAGTATACAAATTCTGTTGTATACAGATAACAAAAACTGAAATATTAATTTGTAATTTAAAGTTTTGTTTCATGTATAAATTAAACAAAAAAATAATGTTAAATATTTTAAAAAATATATATTTAAATAAATATATATATTTTAATAAATCACTGAAAATACATACTTTGTTGCTGCAAAAAAAAAAAATCCAACTTCAGGACTAATCACTAGCAATTGCAAGTACATTAGCAGCTGTAACATACAATTTGCATTTTTAGTGCCAGCAAATTTAGGTTTGACAAAGTAATTTAGTGATTGGTTACAAGTCATGTGTTCTTATTTTTTCATGTTTTTCTTTTATAAAGGGCGAACCGTCTACACTCTATCCAACCCTACAGCTGATGGACATGAGGAACAACAAGAGGGTTCCGTGTGGTCAAAAAAGACGGAGTAGGCATGTGTTGGTACACACTTCTTGATGAGGCCTTCATGACAGCCTTCAGTATGTTTTAACATTAGGTTTGGTGTTTAAGTTCTAAAGGAATTCCAAATGCATTCCACCTGTTAATATATTATTTAAATATCTATACAGGATTCATATCTGATATATAGGTTATGAAGTTGCATTTTTTCAATGTTTTTTACTGTATACCTAAAATTTGTCATGCTTATTGTTTAAATGTACGAAGTATACACTGGTCGCGTATTTAGCATTTAAAACAGTTTAATGAACGGCTCAATAACTGAGAGAATTGTATCTTACCTTGGATTTGAGTTGTACATTTGTATTTTTTTAGGTAAGGTTTTACTCAGAAAGTTATGGTGTGTTTGTTGGATTAGTGAATGGCTACTTAGACTGCTTTTTGTCGTGTGCTGGAACTTTATATAATTTCTATCAGAACAACACATGAATTAAAATGCACTGTAAAGGGGTTGGTTAACATGTAAAAGATGGATTTTTCCAAGATGTTAACTAATTATTTCAATAAATGTTGCTGAATAACTGTAAATGTCTTGTATTAATTTAAGGGTATGTTTTTGCCACATAAAGGTACAAAATAGCTTGTCGTTCCAGCTGTACCTCAGTAGGTACCAATTATGTACCTTTTCAAATGGTACATTTTTGTACCATTTGAAAAGGTACATTTTAGTCACTAGGGGTCCAGAAATGTTATTTTAGAGGTACAGACAGGAAAGTACAAAAATGTACCATGTTCAGAGGTACAGTGTTGTACCCTACTAAGGTACTGCTGGAGCGACAAAGCATTTGTACCTTTTTAGGACCATTCCTGTTCCTTGATTTCTTAGTGTGTGGAGTGCAATAACTCTCCAACGTCCACTTTATTTATTTTAATTACTATTCAAGACACACAAACGGAAACATCAAAAAAACAGAGAGAAATCCACAGCTGGACTGAAAAACAGGCTCTTCAATCATACTGAGCCTGTGTGCATTGAATAAATAAAGTGCTGTGCAGTTAAAAAAATAGTTACAACAACAAAAATATTTAGAAATACAATCTAAAATTGTAATCTGAAAACCAGTATAACCCCCCCCACACACACAAGAAAATACACAGCACAGTGAGGCAGCAAGCTGTTTCAATGGCTGCAGGGATAAAAGAAGCACATCATGTTTTGATTTCCTGCAGCTGAGCTTGCTGCACACTGATCACCTCGCTTGCTTCTTTGCTCGCCTCTTTACTGGAAACCAAACTACATGGTGGCAGTATGTGAGGACAGGATCTATAAAACACAGATACAACAAAGTCTTTAGGACACCATGAACATCTTTTAGAAAATACAGTCAGTGCTGCACCGATGTAGTTCAAACTGAGACAGATATTGACAACGTTTCCCAAGTTTTAACATTCAGGAAAACTCTTCAATGGCGGTGAACTAACACCGGGCTGTGACCTATGAAAATCAATGATCATGTCTGTAGTTTTAGGTTTAAGGATGTACTTTTAATAGCAATGCACAGTCGTGAAGAAGTGGAGTCAAGAGAGCATTTTCACAGTCTTTAAGGGTAACTCCCAATTTCCACATAACTCAGTCAGCGCCATGCACTACGCTGTAGTTTGCTGCCACTCTAGTCAATCATTGTGTTTCCACAGCTGGCGCATTGGTTTGTCTCAGTATCGTGACACCAGAAACGCGCCGATTGGGGGTAAGACATACAGTAGGTGTTATGCTAATTTTTTTTTTTTCAATGATATAAAGTTTTTAAAAAGTTAGATAAAAAAAAAATTCTATGGTTTTAAATGGGGGAGGAATGTAATCAATGATAGGAATAAGAAGGGTTCCTCTTAGTCTGCTTTATCTTTTCTGTTTTGTAACTTACTTTTGGTTTTCATTGGGGTAAATAAAGAATAGGTTTAAGCTGTGTTGAATGGGGAAGTACAATGGTTTTCCTGAGTAGCACACAGAGTGTGGGCTGTGCCTCCTTTAAATGACAAAACATGTGAAATGTTGGCACCAGAAATAGATGTGGGGGCCAAGAGGGGCCATGTGGTAGGGTAGGTAGTATCGGCAATGTCAATACCTGGAGCTCGTCTGTTGAAGATAGCGATACTGTTTGGGCTGTGATGGCCATGTGGTAAAGTTGGTAAGATATAGAAGCTCTGAGTGTGGGTATGGGACGCCAGAGTTAACTGTCCAGCCTCCCAGAGGTGTTTGGGACTAATTGGGCAATACACCTGTGGAGGGAGGCTCACACTTGACGTCCTCAATGCTTTGTCACTATCTGGAGCCCGCTTCAACAGAGCCTGAGTCTGTTGAAGTAGACAGTGCTGTTTGGGCTGTGATGACACTCCCACTTGACAACCCCGGTGATGTCCTGTCTCTGGCTGCCTATCGGTCTTCATAGTTGAGTTGTGGGTGGCCAAGAGGGGCCATGTGGTAGGGTAGCTAGTATCGGCTTCGTCACTACCTGGAGCTTGCATGTACAAGGCCTGGGTCTGTTTAAGGTACTGTAGCAATGCTGTTTTGGTTGCCATGGCAACTAATGGCCATAGAGTAGGTTATATGTAACATATCAGTAGGATATAGGTGCATGACTGGAGTAAGGGGTGTCTTCACTTATACTTTCATTAGGGCTCAAGTATCTGGTGTTTGTATCAAACAAGACTTAGGTGAAGCCAGCAGCTGAGAGAGGACCCGTATGGAAGAGGTTACCGGACTCGACAGATCCAATATACTTATTTGGTTGTTGTTACATTTTGTCTTTTTCTGTCTGTACTGAATAGATTTACATATATTGTATTGTATGTTCGTTTGGTAGTTTGTATACACCAGTGGTTCCCAAACCTTTTTACTTGGAGCCCCCCCCCCCCCCCCCCCCCCACTCCCACTCGTATCCAAGTACAGCTGAGCCTCTCTTGGAACCACACAAAAGAGGGATACAGTATGTTGTTGTCATTGACAAATGCCTCTTTCTGGTATAAGCTTGACATTTTTTATTTTAACATCCCAACACACACACTATTTCCTACCATATACCTATGGATCATTTTCCAGTAATCATAATAAATCATGATGAGTGATTATGTAGCTCCCAATCATCCCCAAAGGGATTACACCAATGGAACCAATGATATGTACGATTGGTTTGCACCAGTGAAAACAATGGTTTATACCAGTGGTTTACACCATAGACGAAGGGAAATCCACTTCACTACTTCTGTGTGACCAGTTGAGCTGAACTGTGAGTGACGGAGCTGATTAATGAACAGTGCAGTGTTTCTGATCTACCTTGTCGCACCCTTTGATGAGCTCACAATTCTACTTTTCTTTGTGAATGTGACGCTGTGATTGAATGAGATGATTGCTCACACCTGAACTGGGTCAAATTAGCTTTGAAATCATTAGCTCATCATCGTCTCATGTAATGCCACGGTGTTCAAGTGCAGCTAACAATTCGTTCTTGATCCAAAGTATCAGCTTGAGCCGCAAATGTGAGGGACAATGTGCCATGAAAGCCTATACATTTTAGATTTCCTGACTGGAATTCATCAGACAAGATCAATCAGACTTCATTCAACAAACGAGTTGGAAGTTGTTTTCTTCCCCAACTGAGGACAGAACTGACAACGTTGGCATGGTTATTTCTGCAAATAGGAAGAAGACAAATACTTTCATTTACCATCACAGCCCTAAATAATGTCCAGCAGAGACATACAGACGCTCACTGTCCACACTGCATCTGTTAAATATTTATTTCTCTGCTCTGTGAATTTCAGTTTCCCCTTCTAAACATGCGGTACTTTTATTTTGAAGGTGGTGCTGCTGACTCAAATCACAACACAATAAAGTTTTTCTCCGGTGTTGACACAAGTCAAAGCTCAACATTACAGTCACTGATGGGGATATTATTCATGCATCGTTGACTCGACTTACTAAAACACGCTAACGAGCTCTGTTGTAAAACCAAATAATCCTAGATTACGAAAGAGCAGTTGTTGGAGCCAAACTGTTGGTTATTTCTTGCCATTATATTTTCCATTGTGTGTGTGTGTGTGTGTGTGTGTGTGTGTGTGTGTGTGTGTGTGTGTGTGTGTGTGTGTGTGTGTGTGGGGGGGGGAGTGTCTGAGAGTTCTTGGAAAAGGCTTCAATACGTCCGCTGATACATCAAAAGATTTTAAAAAATAGCTCCAATCAGTGTACCTTAGCAACCGGCAACATCAACAACATTGCTCAGAATGAAGTGTGTCTGGGATGTATTGAAATTACTATTATTTTCAGTGATGAATCAGTGATGTACTGTTATTTAAGAACTTACTTCTTGATCTGCAAAACAAGTTCACCGTTAGAACATGGTCAGATAAGTCGTAACATTGTCAGTTAATCTATACAGACCAATCGTTTAAAGGTCACATACTACCCTCTATTAACCTCTATCAGGAACAAAACCTCACGCCACAAGAACAGTTTCTTCCCCTCTGCTGTCTGCCTTATCAGTAATGTCCCTCTCCCTCCCCCTCCCCCACATAACAGAGACTCTCATCCAGCCCGACGGTCTGAGAAAATTTTGTGGGAATTGTCAGTAAGGCCATCCAAATCCTGTCCCTTTACTTGTTAAAACTGATGTATCATGTGTTGCAGAGCAATTCAAATAACTCCTTCTTAACCTGTGTGGCAGCTGAGATTGTAGGATGGGACCTGCCTGACAAAATGTGTTAAAGGTCACTTATTATGCACTTATTATGTTTCTCTAATACTAGTAGCCAGCTATGTGTGAATAGGATTACTACATACTGATGGGCACTGTGCACAGCGTCCTCTGCCATCAGAGGATACATAATGGATGTATGTAACATGTCGTGTAAAAGTGCTTTGAATGGTGTTAGGACTAAAAAAAATCCCCATATAAGAATGATCCATTTAACATTCACCATTTATAGAGATACATTAAAGATAACAGCTGTCATTACAGACACAGCCAATACAGTATTATTGGAGTTGGCATTCATGTTAAACAAAATAATAATAGAAGAAATTACTTAGCTCAGAAATACAACTCAGAAAATAAACGATGAACTGCCAGTAAATGGACACAGGAACATGCATAAGCCTCTTCTTCTTCTGTGGTTTTAGAAGCTGCATGCTTCCAAAGTTTTGTATTACCACCAGGGTTTAATTTGCTTAATTTGCACCAAATCCAAAACTGTTCCTGCTCGACCAGCAAGATGTCGTCTTCTCTAAAATGTTTTGTTGGCATCCGGAGTATGGTCAATGAACATCGACAACACGGCGCACGTCGGGCGCAGCGCTTTTTAAAAAGGTGTCATCCTTTTTTCCTTTCTCCATAAGGTTGTATGTAAAAAAAAGGAGCTGGCAGTTGAAAAAATAAGTCAAGTGTGAACACGGCCTTAGTCTCTCGATAACTCACTGAATGGACGTCTTCTGATAAGTGGGAAACATGACACTTGGTAAATGTCTAATCGATGTTTGTTTATTTTTGCTGTCATTTTATGTCAAGTACACTGACGTCCCTTAGTTTGTTCTTAGT